TTTTTAAAATGAAAATAAAAATATTTCTTTCACAATTTTCACGTTTTATTCCAACCAATTGTACCCAAAAATTAAAAAAGAAAATAGAGAACCCTTTAACTCTGGACCAATTATATTAATAAAAAAAGACATTTACATATACCTCACAATTCTCATGTATTTACATATCTAATGCCTAAGCTTTGACGTACCCCCCAAATCTTTCACATCAGATTAAAATATCATTATTTTGATTTGATTTTAAAAAAATAAAATAAATCTTTTTTTTTTTTTGCATGGAATGTCGCATGAAAGTCAATATTGAAGGTTAGGGGTTTGATATGTAAATACAAAAGATTTTATTTGTTTGCATGTAAATCTTTCTAGAAAATAAAAAAGTGTTGCCGCCGTAGGTAGGGGGTGTAAAGGAACTTAGCGAGCAAGCCGAACAAAAACTTCTTAACGAGCCTAACACAAGCTGTTCACGAACAACGAGCTGTTTTGACAGCCCTAGCCGTAGGTGCATGCCAAGCTCCAAACGACGGACAAAGCAAATGTGTGTGTATATAAATATATATTTAAAACTAATTCTTAAATGAAATTGATGGAATCATGTGTCTTTTTTTATAATAATTTAAATATCTTATAAGATTCATATACTAAATTCTTTAGTTGTAACATAGCTGAATTAATCATCCACTCTAAAAATGTTTAAGAGAAATTACAAACGTATGGTCCTCTTGAAAGACTATAATGAGAGATTAAAAATTTTAATTTACAAATTATTATAATTAGAAGTGAACATTAACTAAACAAATTAGTCTGTTATGATCAACAAATCATAAGGGAACCATGAAATAATGCAATATCTCAATCATAATAATAATAATAATAATAATAATAATAATAATAATAATAATAATAATAATAATAATAATAATAATAATAATAATAATAATAATAATAATAATAATAATAATAATAAATGTAGGGATTAAAAAAAATAAAAATGATGAATGCAACCAAACCTAGCTAGAGTTCATGAAAGTGCATATACTCAAAGTCATTTAACAACAAATATATACACCAATTAGCATCTAAAAATTATTTTCATATATTTGCAAATCAAAGCAATATGATCTTCTCTAAAACCTCATTAAGCATTCATGCATCCGACATCAGAATCAGATTGTTGGTTTGGTTGAATTCCCTGTCAAAAAACATATTAAATAATATATTGAATATGAATCTCATATATTAAAGGAACTCTGAAGTATAAAAACAAAATAGCTTCAAAGCCAATAAGAAATAAATACCTTAAAGTTTTAGCTCTCATATTACATTCTCTCAAAAACTTTCGATAAGCTGGAGCAGTCAATCTCTCCTTTCTGATTTTGGATACATTGAAGTTGTCATCAGATTCACTCATTTCTGGTTTTGAACTCCCAATGCTGCTTTGGACTGAATTATCTTTTACACATTCATGAGAACAACTTTTATTCATCATCACTTCAGAGAAAGCAAAAGTTAATTATATTAAGCACTTATTATGTCAAAATGAATTGAAATAAAATATAATACATAGATTGAATTAATTGTAAGATATTCAGAGAATACCAGGCGCCCCTGTACCGCTTTCCTTTCCTGTTAGAATGACGTAAGAAGGTGAAGTCAATGTCTTTTTCTCTTCGGTGTGGGAGACGACCACAAATCTTCTTCTTCATCATTTTCATGGCTGTCATTACTTCCTAATTTATTCCAATTGATTTCTTCCTTAATGCATGAGCACGCAGTCTTTTTAACTGTAAATTTACATACATAAAATTCATTATTCTCAACAAGCATATACACAAACTATCTATCTCTTTTTAGGGCTCATGTATGTGTGTGAATCTGTGTGTGTGTTATTGAGCAAGATAAGCAAATACCGAATAATTCATATGGACAAAATTTTCTTTTTGCTGGTGCATCTATCTGCTTTCTATTTTTCAAAAAATAAATAAATAAATAAATAAATAAATAAATAAATAAATAAATAAATAAATAAATAAATAAATAAATAAATAAATAAATAAATAAATAAATAAATAAATAAATAAATAAATAAAATGTTGATGCAACTTAAAATGTTTGAAATTAGGCAATAAGTAAAGCAAAAATGAACTAAATCTACATATATTTAATTAGTTCAACTCTAAGGTTCACCAAGAACACCAGTGTTCAGAAATAAATCAAGTTTTTTTTAGCAGTCTTGTGCATTGTATTAACAATACATTCAGAGGTGAAATTGATTGTGATTAGTCAGTTAATTAAATTTAATAAACAATAAATATTTTAATTAATAATTTTTTAATAAACAATATTTTGGCGAAACGATTTTGTTTTTGGGTATTTGATACAAAAAGATAAAAAAAAATAAAATCGCATGATCATTTTCATGATACATTGCCAACTACTTTTCTAATAAGAAACATGATATATAATACAAGAAATAATAATAAGACCAAAGTTCTTCAATATATAATTATATGAAAAAAAAAAAACTTACGGGTTTGAAAAATATATAAGAAAAAAAAAATTTAAAATCGAATGATTGTTTTTTGTAATATATCGCCGAACTTTTCCTTTAAAATTAACAAATGTGATATGAAATAATAATAATTATTATTGTGAAAACAACAACGCCTAAACTCTTCTTTCATTGACAACACTTAAAAATTAATTTTAGATATTTTGAGTATTTTTAAAAATAAATTAATTCAGTTTATATATATATAAGATTTGCTATTAAAATAAAAAATAAAAATAAAAATAAATATATAAACATATGATCGCAAACATTTGTTTTCTAGGTTGATAATAACTGCACATGATTCATGTAAAATATCGTTTGTGAGGTTATAAATTAATTCATATGTTAACCTAGAACTATTTAAAGCTAATGTTTTTCGGTGATAGATCTTAAATTTCACCAAAAAAAAGTTTTGAATATTGACATTAAATAATGATAAATGTATAGATCTAAAGTTGAAGAAAAGTTATTTTCTAGAAAATTGATAAATTCCAATGAAAGTAATTTGTTCAAATAAAAAATAACTTTACCAAACAATTTTTCGAAAAATACGGCTAAGATCTAAGACTCATGTATAAAATATCCAAAACATAGTCAGAATAATAATAATAGTAATAATAATAATCAAAATTATTGTGTACAAAATCACATCAATAAATAAAATATAAATATTATTGAACCATGATTTAGATTTTCAATTAGGAAACATAGACGGTGAATTTGATCTCAATCTCGATCTCTAATTAGAAAATAGTAGGCAGTGAACTCGAACTCGAAGAGAGATTCAATAGGCTGGGAAAATAAGATTTATTGAACATTTTGAGAAAAGTAAGATTTTTTCCGCAATGAAATGCATTCAATAATCGAAATAAAATAGGGAGGAATAAATAGGGAAGAACTGATAAATAGGGAAGAACTGATAATTTGAAAAAAAAAAAGCTTAGTGAAAATTATTGATAATCAGATTAAAACCCTAATACAATATTCTTACCGGACGAGATTCAAAAAAACATAATTGGATAAGTCAGGAAGAGGCGCATAATTTGATAAGATAAAAGCCTAGTGCTTACCGGAGGCCTGAGGGTGAAGAACAGACATACTTCTCAAATTGAGGGAGACTTGTAAGCAATTATATAAAGTACGAGGTTTCCTTTCTTAAAACTTACTTAATTTGAAATAAATTTCAATGGCCACCAACCTTCCAAATATAAACCTCCCGTTTTGAATAAATTATTCTTACTAAATTTCCAGAAAACGTCAAATATTTCACGTAATAATAGGCTAGCTTAAGTCAAACTTAGTGGCCAATTATATAAAGTACGAGGTTTCCTTTTTTAAAACTTACTTAATTTGAAATAAATTTCAATGGCTACCAACCTTCCAATTAAAATATAAATTTAAGACTAAATATCACGACTGATTTAATTAAAATATAACTTTTATACTAAATATTGATGAATTATTAGTATTTTAATATCACATACATTTTCTTTACAGTCGAGCAAAAAATCATCGATCTCATTGAAGTGTTAATTAATCAATTTAATTTTTGTTTATTTAGTTTTAGTGGGATAGAATTTGGTCAGTAAAAATATAACATTAAGTGAAATTTGTGAAATTAATTGGCTTATTTTTGGGATAGAATTTGGTCCGTAAAAATATAATTTTAATACAAAATTTTGATGATTCAATTATTACGCCTAATTTAGTTTATTTTAATTTAATATATTTAATATAATTTATTTAAGGAATAAGTGAAATATCACATTGTATTCCATTACGGTTAATTTGAATTCGGGAAGGCCATCATGAATTCACCAAAGCTTTCAATTAAAAAAAAAAATGCCATGAAGTGAAATATCACATTGTATTCCATTACGGTTAATTTGCATTCGGGAAGACGATCATGAATTCACCAAAGCTTTCACGAACTTGTCCAGGTAAATGTTTTAGATACTATGGCCTACGTTTAATGTGTAATCACATTTGTGTTCGCTTAATAAATATTTATTTAAAGTTTTCTATTATTTTTAATTTCAATT